TTAATAGAATTAGCATTAATAAAAAGAAATATATAAAGAAATTAAAATAATATCTATATATATATATATATTTTTTTTTTTTTAATTTTATTTTCATTTTGTAAAATCATATTTCACATCATTTGTCAATTCATTAATAATTTTTATTAAGAATTAATTTTGGAATAAAAATTATTGTTATATCTATGTTTGTAAATATATTTCAATGTGTTTCCTAAAATTCGATAAGGTTTAGCATCTTTAATACGTGACTGAGATCACAAAGAAATCATAATAGTGGTTCTCAATCCTCATAAATAAAATAAAATTTTTAAAATCAATTAGTTATTTATATCAAAATTGAAGTTTCAACATTAAGTCAAATTAATATTTTTTTAACATTATAATATTGATTTTTGAAATTCTAAAATTCATTCAAAATAATAACATGTTTTGAAATTAATAAAATATATATATCATTCAAAATTTAAAATAATATCAATTATTTTGAATTATTGCAACTATTAGAATTATTATATTAGAAAATTTAATTAAATTATTATTATATTAAAAAATTTGAAATAAAAATATAGAAATGAATTTTTAATTATAAAATTAAATAAAGAAAAGAACCACTGAAATGTAGAGACGGTCATCCCCACTCTCTTGTACAGAAAGCAGATGGCATAGGTACCAAGTGGAATATTCCATCGTCACTTTGATGAAGCGGAAACAACGACTGAAGAGTGAAGGGGAAGAATAGGTAGTTTAAAGCGACCTACACACGTGAAACATGTATATGTATCAACTTCTTTCATGATACACGGTTCAATATATATATAGACCGAATCAGAATATCGATTTCAGACATAATATATATCGATACAGAAATTAGTATATTACTGGTACTGGTAATGGTAATATAGATTTCAATGTATGTAAGCTTGAAACCTTGATATTTGTTCGCAACATATTTCAATATATACTTTATACAGGCAGCTTAAGAAAGAATAGATTTGAAAATATTATACACAAATAATAATACAATAGTATTAATTCCTCTATTCATAGAAAAAATAAAATAAATTTGAATGCTTTGAAGAATTTTAAGGACAGTAATAATAGAATAATATATTATAATAAAATTTTTGTAGGCTTGTAAAGAAAGAAAACAACACTTATACATATATGTATGTATACATGCGATGTATTTATTATTCTTTATCCCATATTGTTTGAAAGCTTTAATTGCTAAATACCATATATTTCATATATATATACATATACATATATATTTTTATCCTATATTATAGCATTGCGATTAAATAATATACATATAAATAACTAGTTTATAAGTATATAATAATTAATTAAACAAATTATTAATAACAATATTATTTTTCTAATAAACAGAAAATTTTATTTGCAAATTCAGTTTTATTCAATAATTTTTTATAAGTGAAAGCAAAATTTAATTTTGATAAAATTTATTAAGTTTGATAAAATTAAATTAAGTTTGGTAAAATTGCGGACATAATGTAGTATAATTCATAATTACTTATAAAACAAAATAAATCTATATAATTTTTATTTATTAGGATTAATAATGGAAATTTTTATAGAATGTATTTTTAATAACAAAAATTAAAACATTGTAAAATCAATATTTGCAAACTTATTGCATATCTGACCGAATTTCGTTAATGAAAATTTGACACTTAAAATAAAATGGTACGTAGTTGAAATTGTTTTACTACGTACCAACTGTCGAAAGCTGTTGTATCTCGTTCATCTTGAGAATGACACTGGTGCCTGCAATTTGTTGATGATTCTGCTGCTGTTGTTGCTGTGGCTGCTGCTGTGCTTGCATGATGATGGCCACCATAAAAAATGATATAGAAACGGCAATGATATAAAATGGCACAGAAATTTTATTGTCACGAAAAATCTTGCATAAATCCAGTATCGAAAACCGTAATGAATCAAATCTAACGAGAATTCTATATTTTCTGAAGAATCGAAACAAAAACAGATACGCGCGGCACTTATATTGGCATGCACTAGCGCAATCTTTCAGTATGCGCCATCATGGATTTTCAAGCACTTTACTTAAACTGAGAATTGATACAGCAATATGCAAATCACATAAAAAATAAATTACATAATCGAAAAAAATTTTGTTAGTGAAAAATTTTTAAATAAAATATTATCACGATAACTATGCTCTTCATGAACGATAGTCTATCAATGCTGCAATAATTTTTAACATAGCGTGAACTACGTATACGTAAGACAGGCTGATGTGAAAAACCAATCGATGAACACATTCCGGATTAGAGACTCACGACATTCTATGCGCGGGAAATACGTCATACTGATGTAACCGATAATCAAATTATATATAAGCTATCATATTTCATGAATATTGGACATTTGTAATGTAAAGATCAATTTCCAGTAAAAATATTATTATAACATATTTAAATATTGTAATAAAAAAAATTTATTTGATATTAAATAATAAATATTATTTAGTAATTGCATGAAAGTTTTTAATAAATATAATAAAGAATAAATATAATAATAGAATAATAAAAAAAAAATATTTAATTTAAATGAATATTTACATATTAAATATATTTTTATATAATTATATGTATATTATAATAACTATATTATTTTTAAATTACAATATTTCATAGATTTCATAATTCATAAAAAAATATATATTTATCATATAAAAATATGTAAGAAATAATATATTGTGAAAAATTAAAAAATAAAAGAAATTATTGAGTCAAAATATGACTACTCCTGAACAAATTATACTCGAGCGCCATGCGGCAAGAGTGGAGAATGGCTTTGCAATAGTGACGACTGGTGATTTCCCCACCACATTAGAAGAATTCGAATAAGTAAAGATCTAATCCGTTCTTTCAATCTCACTCTGTCGGTGTCGTTGCCGGTGTGCATGGTTTTGTGCTCCACATTACTTTTATTTCATTTATTTTGTAAGTTAATAATGGCAGAAAACAAAGAACGTACGTTTATTATGATTAAGCCTGATGGTGTCCAACGCGGACTTGTTGGAAAAATAATTCAACGTTTTGAAGAAAAAGGTTTTAAGCTTGTAGCAATGAAAATGTTATGGGTAAGTTTAACATTAATAATATTCATTTCAGAAAAAATACATATATTTTGATTCTTTATAATTATGTAAAAACGTTTTATATTGGCTTATATTCATCAATAAACACTTTCATCTATCATATTTTATCATAAAGATAAATAATTATTGTGACCTTCATTACTATATTTTATGACATTAAAGTTTCTTATGAAAATAAATTTAAATGTCTAAATTTAATTTTATATTAAAACATAAAAAATTTTTTTATTATTATTAAAATTAATAATAACTTATTTTTAATAACTATATAATTAATTAAAATTAAATTTAATTATATAAAGTTATATTGGCACATAACCTAAATTATATTGCATTTTTTATTTTATGATATAAATGGAATTAAATACATATAACTTAATTTAAATACATAACAATAAGATTTTATTTTTTCTTTACAGCCAACTGAAGAATTATTAAAAAAACATTATTCAGATTTAGCATCTAGACCATTTTTCCCTGGATTAATTAAATATATGAGTTCAGGACCAGTTGTACCAATGGTAATTATATAGTAAATATATTTATATTATAAAGAATATATCTTATTTATTTTATATATTTTATTTATTTTATAATTATTTTTTAGGTATGGGAAGGTTTAAATGCAGTAAAAACTGGTCGTTTCATGTTAGGAGAAACAAATCCAAAAGATTCTGCACCAGGAACAATTCGTGGTGATTTTTGTATTCAAGTTGGACGTAACATAATTCATGGATCTGATTCTGTTGAATCTGCTGATAAAGAGATCAAACTATGGTTTGGAGAAGAAAAAGAAGTTATTGATTGGACATCTTGTGCAGAAAAATGGATATATGAATAAAAATAGTCCTCAGTGAAAATAATCATTTTAATATATATTCTTTTACATAATTCAATCTGACCATGCATACTGCCAATCGGATGACATTCAGAATTTGCTGTATATAACTTTACTTAAATAATAATAAAACAAATTCTTATATAAATGTGTTTAATTTAATAATAAAAAAACTTTCATTATATTAATATTATATAATATTATATTTATATAGATATTCTTGTTAAATATTATTACATAGTATAATCATTTTAAAAAATTAAAAATCATATATTTTATTAAAATTTTATTTTTAAAATTATATTTATTCTTATTTAATAGTCACATTTGATATATAATATTTGAATTTATAATTTATA